TTTTCTAGGTCACATATCAAGCTGTGTCTCTCAACAGATCAAGAAAATAGAATTTTTGTACTCGCTGCCTGTTTCTTGGAGTCCACTGAGGGACACATCTCCCTGTCCTCATATGCTATTGTTTTTTCTCCTTGCTACAATTCAGTAGGTGTGAGGTTGGAGGAATTAGATCCTCAAGGCAGCTGGCCTTCAATTTCTTTGTGCCTAGTCTTCTTTACTCCTGTATGCTTCAATATCATTCTAAATTGCTTTATTATCATCAAGCTGTGTCCCTCAATAGACTCAAAAGGATTTTATGATGAGTAAAAAAGGAAAGAGTGAGGGTTGTAATAGAACCCAAGTATTAGTTTGGATGTCTCTCCTTTCAGCACACAGACTGTTTTAACGATCCTTGCCCACACTCCACTTATGGGTGGGGCTTAAGTCCCTATTTAGGGACACCAAGATCTACACTTGCTAATTGCCTAGGTCCTAGGCAGGAGTTTGCAATTGTACAAAATTATCATCAAGGCACAACTCCAGGCTTAGAATTCAGCTGCAGTTAACAGTTAACCCTCTAGAAACCCATGGCTAACCTGTTACAATGTTAACATGAAGCACTGCAGGCATCCCCGTAGTAAGAGAACACCACTTCCCAGGTGTGCAGCATTTAGGAACTAGCACCAGAGAGTCTGTACCAGCATCCACCAACCCAGCAATCCCTGTCGCCTCACTCCTAACAACATGTCCACAGTTAGTAATGGATACAAAAAATACACTTCACTCTGTAAGTGCGTGCCTGCTTTCTCTCTTTCAGGGGCTCCTCGCCATCTCTCCTGTGACTTGCAGGCTAGGTCCCTAGGTACTCTGTGTCGCAGGTCCAGTCCCAGTATGTGGGGAACCGGCTGCTTGGGAAGGAGGAAAGCACAACACCCCTTCACTTCCAGAGTAACAGTCACCTTATGCCAAGTCAACCATTTCCTGTCTGGTTGGTTGCCTTAAGCAATGACACATGTATGGTTGTACCTATCAATGCCAATATAGCCTGTGCTAGACAGCAAACTACATGCTGGACTTAAATGTACTGTATCCCCTCTAACTTACAGTTCCCTTGTTACAAGCCCTGTTCTTAAGATACGCCATTCAATGCACCACTTAGACATCAGACCCAACATTTAAAGGAACATGAACAGTATTTATTGAAGAAATGCATACATGCAGGATCAATTTTTGTAAAGCATCTTCTCACATAATCCTGTATAGAGGTGCTCTAGTAACTATTGAGTAATCATACCTGACTAGCAGCAAAGACCTTAAATAAGTCCATTGTAGGCAAGAGTCCAAAAAGGTATAAAATCTACAGGAGGTACCATAGATTCCATGATTGGCAGCAATCCACAAAGGTAAATAGCCCATCAAAGGTTTCAAGAATTCTGCAAGTCCCCAGGTTTACAGCCCTTTAGGGAACTTCGACTGGCCCCCAGCTGAGAATCACTCCAGCAGCATAATGGCCTACATTTTGGCAGTGTTTCAGCAGAGTTCTCCTGGTTTCAAGAATTCTGCAAGTCCCCAGGTTTACAGCCCTTTAGGGAACTTCGACTGGCCCCCAGCTGAGAATCACTCCAGCAGCATAATGGCCTACATTTTGGCAGTGTTTCAGCAGAGTTCTCCTGGGGCACTGAAGTGCCCCTTTTTATGTGGATCTCAGGAAAAAATGGCCAGAAAATCTAGCCAAGCAGTTCCTCAGATCCACCATACAGTTATGTTGTAACAATTTAGTTGAAAAACAGCACAGCTGTCCCAGATAGCTGCAGAGGTGGCACAGCAGAAAAACTTTAACCCTTTAGAAGCACCTGCTTACGACTTAGTCCAACACATTTTTTTACTTCCTGTAAAATGGGAAACTGTTACAATCTTTATCAGGTTATTACTGTCTGGGTCCTCCTGCCTTGTTGACAATCACTCCCCTCATTTTGGTCATGTTAACCAATCCCTTCATTGTCCCTATTGCCCAAAGGGACAGGAACTGCGGTGAAATCTAATGAACAGGGACAAGGACAGCAATAAAAACTCCAAAGGAGAATTAAAGCATTTTAGCAAAGGCTTTTTTTTTGTAAATAATAAACATGTTCTACTTGTCTGTACAATGCTGCCCCAGCCACCTCTTCTGGGGTCCCCTGCTGACACTCCAGGCTTCTTCTTTTCTCACTGAAAATCCTAAAAACATAAATAGAATCCACTGCAGGAAAATGTTACAGTATACAGCCAAAATGGGGGTGGTGTCCTCAGGACAAAAAAAATATCAAAGTGTGAGCTAAAAGTCCACATAAAGAAGTCCCAACAGAGAACCAATCTGCGGCTTGAAAAAATATAAACATTTTATTGAGAGTATCAAAATGTCAATGGCTGATATCCCTCAACCCTACACAATAAAAACCAAATGACAACATTGTCATGCACAGTAAAAACCCCACCTGAGCTCACAGACATACCAACCACACACGCTCTGGAACACGTACTTAATAATAGAGCAAGACATGAGTAAGGTCAATGGCAATATAATGGTAACAAATTACACCAGACCGATTAATCAGCTATGTAATCTATGGCTGTTTATCAATATGGGTATAGTTGTGCTGGCCCCTTTGAGAACTTGGGCCAGAAGTGTGGCCAAGATTGGGTATTAATGGGCATGTACATTAATGACAGTCCATAAAATCCATCAATCAGGGTAAATATCTTCAATCAACAGGTGTACTGGAAACTCAAGCTTATACTGTCCATTCATGCAGTCAATCAGTCAGAGTGCATGAGCAGCAAGTATAGCAATGGCTCAAATGGAGAGAGCAGCAGGAGAGCATTACAGGTAGCAGGTTGAGCGGACAGAATCAAGCATGAGCAGCAAGCTGGAGCTCAATGGCAGAGTACAAATATGCAATATTGGAAGCCACATCCTTTCACTTCATGCAAGCAGACGGAGAATACCAGGTGTGGGAGGCTCCACTGAGCAGTCGTGGTCCCGTGATCAACCTCCGATATAATCACAACCTGGCTCCAATGAAATATTGCTCACCAGTCCAGGTATGATTGCTCACTTCAGTCAGTCCTGACCCCCTGTGTGATAATGCCACTATAGGTCTCTGTATGGAGGTTCAATGCATGTTGCTTCAAAGTCCATGCCCAGTGTGGTGCAGCATGCTGAAAAAGCTGCATGGTGGAGACTGGAGTGCGGGCGTAATGAAGTTGTGATGTCAATGTATTTCGCCCACTGAGTCATGTGAGCTTCTTCCTTCTCTTCTCAGTGTGCCACTATAGAAAGCTGCTTCCTATGGGGATGCTCCTGCTCTCTAGCTCCCAAGCCAGGCTGTGTGAATCTATAGACGCACATAGCACAGCTCGGCCCCTCCCCTTGATTTCTGTTCACAGGATTTGATTGACAGCAGCAGGAGTCGATGGCTCCTGCTGCTTCCTCTGTCCTGTGAGGAAACAGACGAGTGCCACCACAGACTAGGACAGCACTGGATTGAAGTAGTATAAGGGGGGTGAGGGGCAATACTTCCACTGGAACAGTTTTTTACCTTAATGCAGGGAATTAATTAAGGTAAAAAAGGTTCTTCCTTTACAACATTTTAAACTTGTATTTTCTTTCAACTTTTCCTGATACATAGCAGCAAAAAATATGTACAAGTGCTGCTGTCTATACCTGGGGTCTGCTTTTTCTTTTACTACTTTGATGAGGAGAGACAGTGGAAATCTATAGAAATCAGTCTTTTAGACTTAATATCATGTAACAAGTCCAGATGTGTCCACCTTATTATCATCTGTGTTTTAAGCTAAACCAACATTGTACTTCATGATAAAACTGGATAAAAGAAGTGCTGCCTGTCCTGATCATGGCAATCAGCTTGACATATTCTTTATACCATTTTGAGCTCTTTTGGTTGTAAATAAAGACTCTTTTACATAAAGCAATCTGTCTAGTACCTACTTTTTTGCTGTTTGTATAGCGCTAACCCCGAAGGAGCTGCTGGTTGTGCTGGGTGATCTGTTCTTAAATTGACCTCTACAAAGACCTCTGCACCTCTAACACATCAGGTACACACATCAATAAGCACAGACTGACAACTTTTGGCCAGTGCCTCAGGATCACCCTGGAATGAGATGTGAGACCATGGAGTATGACAATATATTGAGAATTTGAGTACTCAAAAATGACAGAAGATTACAATGTGGAACACTTTTTTGACACCGTTGCTAATATCAAACAACATAATAGGAGTGCCACCTTTTTAGGGTCTGGTAAAGTCAGCATAAACTGTAACTTTCCCCACTGCAAATGAGCAACATAAGGCATCTATGAACTTGGTATCAATAAAATAATTGCTAAGTCACCTAGAATCAGTTACAGTGAGGAGGCTAGGGCCTAGGCTATAGTGCAATAACTGCAAAGTAACTAAACTCTTGAATATGCAGGAATACAGGTACTTTAACTCAGTCCTTAACCTCCCTAGCGGTCTGATTATGTCCATATTTCTGTGCTCAAAGCGGTACATTTTTTTGCATGGAAATATGTATTTTTTTTTATTGTAGGCCTGTAATTTTTAGGAATAACTCACTGAAATCTGTCCGAACAGGAGTCTAGTAAACATCCCAGGTATGTTACAATTTGAAACACGAAATCATAAATTATCATTTTTAATAAATAATCATAAAAAATAACATAAATTTAATTCAATAATATAATCAAACCAAAAACACTGAAATTTGAAATAGAGCGCCAAGTTCGCACATCACTGAGCAAAGTCGCAAAATTGTTTTCAGTGTCTGACAAATTTCCCCACGAATCATTATCACTGAATTCTGCAAGTGGTTCTGATTTACTATCGCTGTTCTCTAGCTGGTCTAAACCCGCTTTTTGAGCTAAAGGGACGCGTTTTGGACACCATGGACGTTTTGCAGTTTCAAGGCAGAAAGAACAGTAAAAATGCAGGCAGGGCACAGGACAAAGCACTAGGGACAAAATGTATGTGAAATGCTTTGATACAGTAATGTTTTACTATGTGATTTTAGTGAATGTCACTTTTTGTCATTTTCAAATTTCCCGCTGTTCTGTCCTCGTATGTCCTGACGCTCGCAGGGGACAGAACCCAGATGACAGATGCCGGCATCCGCCGAAGGACATTACAGGGGACACTGCAGGAGGGACATCGCGGGAGTGCAGGACAAGGTAAGTGATTGAGGGATCCCGGAGCAGAGCCGCATGGTAAGCCCGAGTGTAGCTCAGGGTTACCGCTGTGGTACTGAAACTTTACCCTGAGCTACACTCAGGAATACCGCCAGGGGGGTTAAAGTAAGTCTTTGGCCAGCCACATTTGGAGATCTTGAAAACATTAGCACGCTAGATGAAATAGTTTCTGCAACAAGCAAACCGGTTGTAGAACATTGGTTTCCTAAGAGCACTGAGTGGAGAAGTGTCCAGCAAGGGGTAAATTATCAAAGGTATAATAGTCGATATCTCTCAGATGTCAAGGGATACAATTCTGATCAGCAGGCCAGTTGCAGAAAGTTAATGGGTAATGCCTTTAAAAGGGATAGTGCGGTATGGCCTTCCAATGAATTTCACTACAGGGTCAGTCAAAATGTCACAAAGGGTTAATATCCACTCACCGACTCCACAATACTGGTAGTAGAAGGTCTCTTGCAGTGATGAATAGGGCGCCCTTTAAGATGGGAACAATTCCAGATGAGCTATTGTAGCAATCAGATAACAATAGCCCTTCCGCTGTAGCTGCAACCTTTAGCTAGGCTCGGCGATGTCACAGGTGGAATAGGCAGGTCTGGGTCTCTAGTGGCTCCAGTACTAGGCCTCAGAATGATTCCCCAGCAGCACAGATACAGACTGAACTTGGCAGATTAGCAGTTTTCTCAGTTCTCTGGAACTGACAGACACGGTCTCTCATGTAATGCACAGCCTTTCAGTGTATTTTCCTCCGTTTCTCTCGCAGACAGGATCTTCCCTTCTACACATAGCGGTTTCCCTCTCACCACTGACTCCTGGTTTCCCGGGCTTTTAATTTATATGACGCCTTCTGCACACCTATGGAATGCTTGATTCTGAAGTTTCGTGTGTCTGTGGCAACATTGGAATTCCTGTTGGCTGGGACTACATTTTCCATCATTCAGTGCTCTAAATAAAAATGAATCAGTCCACAAAACTCCATCTTGTGGAAGAAAAAGGGAACTTCTTGCAAGAATGTTCTCCTTCAGTGGTCATGACCTGCTCTGGCTCAGATAACTTTTGTCAGGCTATTTCTCCTTTAGGATGTGAGGGGGAAGCTGGCTACTTACTACAAAGGCACTAGTGTTCTACAGTGGTTATGGCCTGCTTTGGTCCAGATAGTTCATAAGACTATTTCTCAGCTGGATATGATGGAGAAGTTGGCTACTCAAAACCAGCAAATAGACAATTCATACGATGTGAGTAGAGGTGCATATCTATGGGCTGGTAAGCGCTTCGTATAAATCTAAATAAACCTTGAAATTTTACCTGCTTACCCTTGTTTGTTATTAATATTCATCGATTGCCTTATTTACTCTAGATCTGTAAGATGGCTAACTCCAGTTGGGCCAGTTTTTCCAAAGCACTGAGCACTATTCCCGTGACCATCAAATCCTCAAGTGACAGCTTCCAGCAATTTAGGAAGGCTGCAATAGCCAAAGAAGAGAGGGAAAAGGCACTTAAAGCTCTAGAAACAAAGAAAATGCAAGTATATTATGTTTTCGGGGGGAGGTTTAAAGTATATCTAAAGGCTCCATTATGACAATTTAAACAAGTCCTAGATCCAGTTACTATGTGATACACAAAGCCTTATAAAGTAAGCAAAAAACGTTACCTTTCCTGAGTAAGCCAAATCCTCCTTTTTATGTTGTCGTCCTAGTAGAAATGTTTTCAGCAACAGAGGCAATCATGTCAATCCAAAAATCAATGTGCAGGACTAGGTCAGGTGCTGACTGACAACATACAGGCTTGTGAATCAGCAGTGACCAGGGGCGGACTGACCATTTGGAAACTCGGGCACTGCCTGAGGGCCTGAGGTCAGTAGGGGGCCCCATGAGATGTCCCTGGTAACCTTTTTCATAGGCTTTTTTGAGTTTGGGCAAGGACACGGGCCCCATAATCCCTTATTGCCCGGGGGCCCCATGAGTTGTCAGTCCACCCCTGGCAGTGACCATGCTGAGCTGAGTTCTCAGCAACATTTTCGTATCCCACTGTAGTGCAGGCAGGCAGGCACAGCCTACGTGAGAAGGACAATACTGCTCTGAATTCAGAAGCACTGCATCATTGTTGCCACTCTACCAAACAATCATAGCATTTAGTGAAGTTGTGTGGCAGGACCTACAGATATTTTTAGGACTTTGAAGGGGGAGATGAGATGAATCTGTAAGTGCACATGCACTTGTAATTAAATGTTTCAGTACATTTTTTCTTTTTTTTTTTTTTTTTTTTTTCTTAGGATGCAGTATTCTACTTAAAATGTTAGTGCATAAAAATCCTCTTGCGCTAACAAATGGTGAACAACTAAAAACAGCTGCCAACACTCTCCTACTAATACCTAGTGTAGTGTGCAATTTTAAATAAATATATAGTGTGGCGCTCGGAATAAATAAATAATGTGTAATCAAAAACTAATTAATAAATAAATACCCTAAAAAAACAATAATACCTCAAGTGATCACACTCTAAAATAACAAAGTGTATCAAATAAATAAGTGCAACAATAAATAACTCAAGTGTTCACACTCTAAAATATATCAAGTGACTAAAATGGATCACATGCTTGTAATCAATAGAAATCAATACCAACTTCATACAAAGTGAAAAAAGTGCCAAATAATAGTGCCAAGAATATATAAATGTCCGTTCCTTCAAAAACAATTGAAGGTAATGTTCTTCACGTGATAAACGTAATTCATGCAATAAATAGTGGTAATTAATAATGATTTGTGCCAAAATCTTCTCCAAACAATAGCTGAAGTGCCTCCTCACCTCCTCCCGGCAACTCCCAGTACCCCGAGGAAGTCACGAGTTGTACGTGACGTAACGCGTAGGTTTACGAGTGCGCAGTTTTCGGTGCGCGGTGACGCACTTCCGGCGTGTAACGCCATCTTGCCACACCCGGAAGTCCCAGTTCACATGCAGTGTACCCACACATCGGTGAGGAGGGAGGACTGCAGGATTATGTGAGTTCCATCACTTTGCATACTTTACAATAAAAGGAGTCGGAAATACTACACTTAGAGGGTGTTTTTTCTTCTTTGGCTCACTGGATCGGTGAGCTATTGTTCTTTAAGGCACCTGAGCTGCATAAGGGAAATAGGAGGCCCACCAGGAAAGATAAAGAAGGAAGAAAAAAGCTGTTGGCTTTCCTTGATTCTAGGATTCAGGTTGATCCTACAAGCCTGTTGGCCCTTTGGGGTCGCAGGGAGGAGGTGAGGAGGCACTTCAGCTATTGTTTGGAGAAGATTTTGGCACAAATCATTATTAATTACCACTATTTATTGCATGAATTACGTTTATCACGTGAAGAACATTACCTTCAATTGTTTTTGAAGGAACGGACATTTATATATTCTTGGCACTATTATTTGGCACTTTTTTCACTTTGTATGAAGTTGGTATTGATTTCTATTGATTACAAGCATGTGATCCATTTTAGTCACTTGATATATTTTAGAGTGTGAACACTTGAGTTATTTATTGTTGCACTTATTTATTTGATACACTTTGTTATTTTAGAGTGTGATCACTTGAGGTATTATTGTTTTTTAGGGTATTTATTTATTAATTAGTTTTTGATTACACATTATTTATTTATTCCGAGCGCCACACTATATATTTATTTAAAATTGCACACTACTTAAAATGTTACTAAACCTACAATACTAAAATCAGTCTGTATATACAGTTATACTCGCTGTGGAACCTAAGGGGTTAATCTCTTGCAATATGTAAAAAGGCTGGGTTGATCCTGCTGTTCTCTGATGCTCCCATTCTTATACTGTCCCCAATCGATCTGCTGATTAGTACAGAGCAGCAGTGGCAAGAGAAAACATTTCCTCTACAGTCAGAGCTATTCAGGTTACAAGACTTTGACATCACACATTACATCATGTATACAGATCAGTGTATGGTGTTCACTTTTTTTAATAGAAAAAATTAAAAGGTGAACACTTTACTTATGATATTGTGGCTGATTTCAGGCCAGCTGTCATTTTGATGCTGCTGTCCTTCCCATTGCAAACATTTTGTTTTTTCTTGCTCGAAGACTTGGGAGGTATTTTTTTTTTTCTTTGCTGCAAGTCTTGCCTATGATAAAAAAGCATGCTTTTGTTTCAGTGTGGCTGTATATAAGCAAAGCTAATGTTAAAAGAAAAAAATCAATTCTACAGCCAAAAATGTTCTACCAGTTAACACTCGCTGAGACTGTGAAAATCACAATGTTCATAGCACCCTGTACAGCTTTAATATGCTTCCCAAGCATGTTCAGGTTTGCTAAATGTCAGAGTATTCCTGAAGCCCTCTGTGAATTGGTCCCTGATCTTAAACTATTTTGGGTGGGGAATGGTTAAACCCACCTATATACTATAAACATATTTTCCAAGATGTGTTTTTGTTACTATACTATGACTAATGATGTGACTAATGTAAAAAAATTTAATTTATAATGTATAATCTAACTCCAGACATTTTTACAATATATTTTAAATAAAGTGGGTGAGCATTTGATTAATTTAGTTATTTTTTGCAGTGCATAATTAGGTGGCAATGTATCAAATCTCCTTATGGGTTCATGCACACAGCCACAGAAAACAGTCAGTACAGTGTTTGTTTTTAGAGTTTTGTTTCTTTAATGGATTTGAATGCAAGTGTATTGTTTTTTATAGACTTGTACACATCACAGTGTAAAGATGAAGTAAACTTTCACTTCAGATCCTTAAAGTTGAAATAGAAAAGCATGTGTTCATTGCTGCGTATGGACTTTATTTTACATTGTACAATGTAAACATTTGTGGCTCCTCTCTGTTGCTTCTAAAATCTAGGCACTAAATGTGTGATCTCTATAACATATTCAGTTGTGGTGGTAGTTCTTAACTTACAGTATCAGTAGCTTGGCAGACAGTGACTTAATCCAAATTACATCTTGCAGATCATAGAAAGCTTTAATCCAAGACTTGTGCAGATCTTCACAGCTGAACATCAGATAAAAAAATCCATAGTGTGTCTAGCTCCAGCAGAATACAATACATGTGATGAATGCACGCTAAAGCATTAAGAAGGGTGCGACTGACTAC